TTTCTTTTTGCTTATGTGATGCTGAGGAATCGAACCCAGGGCCTCATGCATGCAAGGCAAGCGCTCTACCACTGAGCCACCTTCCCAGCCCCGAAGTATTGAACTTTAGGCTATATTGACATTTTTATGATAATCCTGTCAGTACAGTGCCTTCTTTAATTTCAAATTTTTCAGTTTTTGTTGTAGAGGTTCTTCACTTCCTTAGTTATGTTCATTACTAACTAGTTCTTTGTTTTCTTCTCTGAGACTTGACAATGGTATTGCTTTTCTGATTTCACAGAAAAGTTAACTAATTTTTATGAATTGATTTTATACCTTTCTACTTTGCCAAAGATATTTATCAGCTTTAGAAGCTTGGGAACAGAGTCTCCAGGGTCCTTTATAGTATGGTCATCTGCAAATAGAGAAAATTTTACTTCTTTCTTCCCTGCTTGGATCCTCTTTGTTTTCTCTTGCCTTGTTGCTCTGACTAAGAATTCTAGTACTCTACTGAAAAGGAGTGGAGACAGCAAACAAAACATCTTTGTCTTGTTCCTGACTTAAGGGAAAATGGTTTTAGTTTTTATATCATTTACTGTGATGTTGGCTGTAGATTTGTAACAAACAGCTCTTTTTTATATCGAGGAATGTTCTCTCTGTATATAGCTCCTCCAAATCTTTAATTATAAAGGGATGTTGGATTGGTTGCTGGTGGCTAATGCCTGCCACCCTAGCTACTCAAGAGGCTGAGATCTGAGGATTGTGCTTTGAAGCCAGGCAGAGCAGGAAAGTCTGTGAGACTTTTATCTGTAATTAATCCAGTTAAATGCCAGAAGTGGAACTGTGACTCACATGGCTGGGCACTAGCCTTGCACAGTGATGCTCAGGGACAGCACCCAGGTTGTAAGATCTTGTTAGAGGCTGTTTTTATATCTTCTGAAATGACCATGTGTCAGCTACCTTTGGATCTGTTCATGTGTTGTAAATCATTTATTGATTGATGAATATAAAACCAGTCTTGCATTTCTGGGATGAATCTCACTTCATTGCAGTGTATGATTTTGTTGTTGATTAGTTGAAATTTGGCAGGTTTGTTATTAGAGTTTTGCATCTATGTTCATCCAAGATTGGTCTCTAGTTCTCTCTCTCTTTTTTTTAGATAATAAACACGCTAATCAGTACATAACATTAAGATCCCTACTTAACTCACTACAGCAATATTTAGTACTCTGCAATAGTTTTTCTTATTTTGTCATTCTCTACCAAGTACCACCTACAGACTAATAACTAAACATGATTTATTGCTGGAAATCACAATCCAGGCTCATAACTCTGATAGGAAAATAGACTAAGTCTGCATTACACTGACCTGAATATTCTTAAAAGCTCTGGTATGATCATGAATTTGATTTACATTCTCCAAGTCACTAAAAGTTTTCTTTTGATTTGGGTATTATTTTTGTATTCCTTTGATTGAAATGTCTAACACAATTTAAGTGGGAGGAAGTACTTAGTTTCACTGCTAATGACAGGTTTAGTCCTTGTCCACCTGTTCCGCTCCCATGCCCTTAGGAAGAAGTGAGAAGGGAGGTGGAAGAAAAGTATTTTTACATGTATTAGAGATATGTAACTAGGTGATATAGAAAGGGAAAGAGAAAGTAGGAAAGGAGGTAAGGAATTCGTGAGAAGGGGAGAGAAATTAGTGGGCAAGAAAAGTAGCTCAGGGTACAG